TTAGTTCTAATTTTATCATCCCTTTACCACCAATTGTGGCCTTTCAGCCGGTACGAGAACATGGTTCTCGTACGGCAAAGGCTCAGACGCCGACACGAGAACATGGTTCTCGTATAGGAGTTTTTTGGCGCATGGTGTTTGGGTGGTCATACCAAGTCCGAAATCCATGTGCCATGTGGTTGCGACGTAAGGTTCGGAAGTTGCACCTTGGGCATCTAGGCTTTTCCCCCAAAACTTGGCTTCGGCGCGAAGGTGTTAAGAGGTGACGGGGGGTTGGATTTCACGTCTCCGTTTTGGGGCTCTTTTTTTGGTGGGAGTTCAAGTACCCTGCCCGAGATGCTAAAAGCCGCAGTAGCAGGTCCGGAAAAAATTTATTGCCTAATCGGGGGCAGTTTTACCTTTTTTTTAAAAATAATTTACGGGAAATTTTGGGTACTTTTTACTGTTTTTCCAGTTTTGCTTTTTATTAGAAAAGATAGATTTTTTTCAAACGTAAAATGATCCAAGGAATCCAAAACTGTCCCCGGAATGTAGCTACAGCTCTTCAGGAGATATTGTCGAAAAAGGCCAAAAGTTACCAAAAAGTGCCAAATTTTGGGGGACATGGTCAAAAAATGTTTCAGAGGCCCATCTTTTTTTCTCAAAATGAATGCGCCGTGACACGAGATCACATTGAACTGCCAGATACTGATCAACACCGTAATACGAGGCCTGTTTAGATCACACTTGCTGCCGTGGGCCGTTGGGGTTTTTCCATGAAGCTCAGAACGTAAAAAATGGATTCCTTTTTGTTATTTAAGAAAAAATTCACTAGCGTGGAGCTGTTGAGGGGAAACCCCGGCCCCATCACAATGAGAAGCAGTCCCGTGGCCGCCTGTTCTCGACTCTTTGTCAGTTGCATCCCGGGACCTGCACTCGAAAAGGCAAGTAAGTGATCGCTTTAGAGACTGGTTTGTTCGAAATCGAATCTGTACTGATTCGACATGGAAATCCGTTCCCACAGGTTTCGAGCATATCAAATTTTTATAGTCGTGTTCAATGTTGATATTTACGGGGTCCCAAAACGGTCATTAGATTCGATCTGAAAACTTTAGAGAAAATTGAGGTAAAGAAACTGAAAGTATCACATATTCATGCCGTGATTCTGAAAAAAGGTGCAACACTTTTGAAACATGCATAAGAACACTGATATTCTAATCGTTATGAATAAGCGTCAATTGGTACAATGCAAAAGCATTGCACATGAAGTGCAATGCCTTCCCTTCCCATGCATTAGCATGGGGCTTTTTGGGGACGCATTGCACGTGAGTGCAATATGACTGAGGTATTGCACGTATGGTGCGCTATCTCAGTGCATCGCACCATACGTGCTATTTTATAGCGTTTGGAATCTCAGTAGTCTGTTTAGAACAGAATCAACTTGTTTAACCACGCCACCGTGACACTTATTCGCTTGAATTTGCAATGCGCAGTGTGCAAGAGGATGGCACCCAATGGAGAAATCTTTTCGAACCTTCATCTTCAATGCGTTTGAATCTATTTCGTTGTCCTCATTTCGGTTCCATGGAAAGCAATTAACTCCTACGCGGTACGATGAGGCATATAAAGCACCAACAAGGGTCACACCGAGATTTCCCCAATTAAACCCCGGGAGTTTTTGCCCGCAGGTGATAATGTGCGTAAAAGCGTGTTCTAAGAGTCGCAAATTGATAAAATTTCCCTTTTATTTCGGGGCCAATTTTGGCCGTTGTTTTTCCACTCTTAGATAACCGGAAATACTCTCGACGGTTGTTCGTACCCACACCCTCGTCATACGTCTATGAAAGTTATCAAGTCTTTATGGGGGGAATCTAGTTCGGGGATCATCTAATTTTTTCCCCACCTCACCACTGCCGTGTTTGATCGATTTATCCCCGCACTGTTCGTCCCTAAGTCATTTCTCAAAGCGAACAGGTCAGAGTCTAAGAATTATTTGTTTTAGGGGGCCCTGGAATGTTGTCGTTGAAAAGATGTATGACTGCGGGGCGAAACACAACTGGTCAGTGAGTATGAGGTTTTCTCACTACAACCCTGCCAGGCCTTCAGAATTGCAACACGCACGAGGTTGGGTTTAACGCCCTACTCCCATGACAGACGACACATGGGTATGCTACTCTAGAAAAAATTCCAGGCCCCCAGGCCATGGGCAGTTCTCACACTGACAGGGACACAATAATAATACACTGAAATCAGGCGAAAATGACTCACGCGATTGCTTGCATGTGAATTTAACTGGACAGTATGTCTTGAACTCTTTTTAAGGCTACTTGTAAAGGGCGCGTGATTCTTGCGTAATAGTCAGCAAGGTGTAAGACGCGTATTGGAAACATACTGTACGCAATAGCCACAATGCGAAATTTCCCCCGGGTGAGAAATGCTCCCAAATAGAGGGTTTCCACGTGAGAAGCCACGGCCACCTCAAGATGGCAAACTTAACCCATACTCGTATCTCGGTAATCCTTTAACGAATTTTACACTGCTGTTCAACGAATGGGACTGGGACGCCACATTCGTTATAACATTAATTGTGTCGCTCTAGTTTGAATGTGACAGGGCCGTTTAGAGAGGATCAATATTCAAACCAATATTAAATTATATTTAAACGCAAGAGACAAAATTCTCATCCGAACGAATAAGACTTCCATTCGTTGTACAAAGGGACGGGATTTGGGAAACAAGCAGTCATTATTTCTACGACACTGTTCTCCTTACCGAATCGTCTTTTTCGTTTTCTGTTTTTAAGATGCATGTAGCTTTAGACGCTTGGAGCAACAACATGTGGAAGGAAAAGCATTCGTATTTAGTTCAACAACCATGGATGTTCGGTAGCCTGGAAGTACGTGCCGGATGTCCTGCAGCACTTTTTCCCCCGGGGGCCCGAAAAACTTCACCCTGCATACCCGTGGTAAAGGCAGAATGACCAGAAGACCAGTGGAGGCGGCCACATTTCTAGACGCGTTTTGAGCTCCAGATTGCTAACAGGACCCGAACCGAGCGCGTGACCCCACCATGGATTCCTCGTTCGGAGAGCAATCCTTGGTGTGGTCCCCCGTCCGATTCGAGTCCCCTTTGTCACTTTGGAGGTCAAAACCCACCTTGCCCTTTGGGAAAAAGAAAGATGCGTAGCCCGTTTTTTAAAAATGTGCCTTAGTTTCCTGAAAAAAAAAAAAATTTTAAGAAATCCTGGGAGTCACGAAGTCAATTTGATTTTTGTGTAAGAGTGTGGAGAAAGAAAAGAAGTGGTGTGTGAAGTTGTGGCTCAGGGGGCTACCCCAAAGGCAGTGGTACCAATGTGGTCGATGGGGCCACCCGTCGAAATTTTTAAAATTGACAAAAGAAATCAAAATGTGGTAAATTCAAAAAATTCCAATGCTAATGTACTCCGCAGTGTTCTGACAAGGGGAAAATCCTTAAAGTCCATCATTATTAAAATGTCTTGGCAGAAAGAAGGCAGTAAATTAATTTTTACGGGTTGGCCCCAATTTTCTCGGCGTCTGCGCCCTTGCAAAATCGCGAAGCTGAAAGCAAAAGCAGTCGCGCAAAAAAATGCCCCTCCATTTTGCTGGCGTTGAATTGTTTGGCTTTTTTTCAAAAGGCTATGGTTCTCTAGTCATGTTTCTTTAATTCTGAGTAATAGTTCTCCCTTACAACGTATCAACACCACGACGGTTGGTTTGACAAACTTCATAAACTCGGGAGGGATGGTTTCAAAACGCGGGTGAGTCTTGTTCGAGGAACATGAGCACTGCAAGTCGCGAGGTGGAGCGAAGTGGTCCTAGTGCTAACTGAATCACAACAACAACAAAATTGTTTTATTGACAGAAAAAAAAAGTAATATTTGAGAAACTTTATGTCAGAAAAAAAGAACTTTTGTTTTGCTATTTTTCTGTTAATATTTTTTTAGAAAGTCATCACATAAAAATTGAAAATTTGTTTTATATGAATTTTCATAAGCAGGAAACAAAGAAAAACAAGTAAGAGAGCAAAATTAATACAGATTTCAAATGCTACAGTTGGTTAAACTGTTAAACAGGTTGCAAACCTACTGCGCATGTCCAAAAGCACTCCGATCAAGAAGTATTATTGGATAGTTCTAACCGAAAAACTGCGTTCGAACCGACACCGATTCTATTGTTGCATCTTGTCTACCTGCAGTCAAAGAAATTTTTCATTTCGAACGTGCTATTTTCAGCTTTTGGAGTAAGCTGTACAGACCCAAAAAGAAGCTCGGCTATTGGTCCGCCCCGGCTCGGACTCCCCCCACTCCCTTTTTTTTCCTTTGACGAGTCGAGTTTTGCCATGGAAACGGCGATTTTGACAGCAAATTTCTCAAAATTGGCCACCAACTTTTTAACCAGATTTCAGCATGAGAATCAGCGTTCAAAGTTCTACAAGTCTGCAAAGTCTCATTAAAATCGTATAGAAAATTTCCGAAATGCACAAATTGAATCTCGGGCCGGCTGAATCCTGGGTATACTATAAGGCTACTTCGTGCCTAAAAAAAGAACCAAAAACAAGTCCAAACTGGTGCAAAATCTCTCAAATTTGAAGAAAAATAGGCCCGGTAAAATAGCCTTTACAGCCTCTTCTCGGCTGAAATCTTCAAACCTGCCAACGCCATCTTTTTTCTATGCATTAATAGATAAAATTGCCAGAATCTGAAATCCTTTGTCATGAGGAGAATTTGGGAGAAACGACTAAAAGTTTACGTAAACCTCCATAACTCAGAAACCAACAGGAGTTGGGGTCCCCAACTTTGAGAATAAATTCATCTAATAATACTGTTCGAATTTTGACCACGAAATGATCTTCCTGTGACAAACATTTCTAGGACATGCTAGTTTCACTTTACAGCATCTTTAAGTTTGCGTGCCTCCTAGTGACAAGATAGCAGCGTTACAGAGATCTATTTGGTCCAGAATGTAAATTTTTAAACATTCATCGCTGCTCTGCAGGGTTTATACGAAACCGACTCACCCGTGCGTTGGTCGGTGCCCTCCATTCCCGTCATGGTCTACGGACAATACCGCTACCGAATGTCATCAGGTTACCTGCAGCAACCAGCGGAGGCTATCATCTGCATCGAGGGCCGTGTCATTCCGAAGACGTATTAGAAACGCAGCTTTCGTTGGCGTAGTCCAACCATCGATATTTTACGAATTGGTAAATTGAGATCCATGTTCCTTTAAACTAAAAAAAAAGCGTACCAAGCTTGCTTCGTAACTGCGACAAAAGGAAAGAATAGTCGGATTTCTTCGTAATACAAAGAATCGCTTCAAATTCCATACTCATAATCCATTTATCTGTTCTTTGGCTAGCACTCTCGCCGTGGATCAGCCTTCCACGGACGCCTCCCTGGCCGCGGCCGCCCGCATCTGCGCGCACCCTCCGCATACTCCGCAGCCCAGCGTCGCGGAAGCCGAATTGAAAAGAAAAATGTCGCCATCCCATTTTTTTGAAATCCCGCCGTAAACCGCGCACGTATCTCCTTCACCCTTCTGGCCGTCGAGGCGCTGGGCGAGATTTGGCCGTCATCTCCCGGGGGCTGAAGCCACCGCACCCCGCCGCGCCCCACCCCGCCCGGACCGACCGCAGTGCCGCACAGGCAGCCGTACGGCCGGATGCTGCAGAGGGTGGTAAATCCATTGTGCAGCGGTGGCCGGCGGGGACGGGCGGGGACGCTGCGGGGACAAGGAGCAGCCGGTCCCACTCGCCTCACCTGATCGCCGCCTTCATCCCCGCGCACTTCCTGCTCTGCTGCAGGGGCCGCTCAGGGGCCGCGCTGGGGACGACCGCCCGGCCTCGGGGTCGTAACAACCAGCCGTAGGGGTGCGCGACGCAGCGACGAGCGAAGCGAGGTTTGCGAGCTTAGGGATTCAGCGTGCCCGTCGATAGGTAGAGGGGATTGCGCGGACACTCACTCACACTCACACACACACACACACACACACACACACACACACACACACACCTACACACACACACACAGCACATACACCTCAGACGGCCGCGACAATGCAGCAAAACGGCTTCACGCAGATAAAGCGCGCACAAGGGGCAGGCAAGTGACGAGCGGCGACGGGGAGGAATCACGCGAAAAAGGGAACGAAAACAAAAAGGAGCGCGGCAATCGGCATGCCGGTCTCGCCTCGCCCACCGCTCCCTTCCTCCCCGCTGAGGGCAGGAGGTGCAGCACGGACTGGTGCACCCGCAAAGGGAGCGGCAGCGGCAGCGCCCACCAGCCAAAGGGCTGGGGGAGAGTCTCCGCCCCGCCAACCGGGAAAGGGTTAGGAGGTAGCACCACGCCCAGCCGCGGCCTCGGCCGCAGCGCTGCATTGTCCAAGCTGGACGCCCGGCCCGTAATTTCTTCCCCTGCGCTCCCCGTCCGTCGTCACTCTCCTCTATCGCCTCGATGATCGACGCGTGGGGCCGTGCAGCACGTGACCACCACTATCTCGCTGCGCCTGGGCGGCCTGCCCGGTGGCCCTCTGGACGTCCCGCTGGAGGTCCCACTGGACTGGAGGTCCCGCTAGAGGTCCCGCTGGAGGTTCCGCTAGAGGTTCCGCTAGAGGTTCCGCTAGAGGTCCCGCTGGAGGTCCCGCTGGAGGTCCCGCTGGAGGTCCTGCTAGAGGTCCCGCTAGAGGTCCCGCTACAGGCACCGGTGGAGGTCCCGCTGGAGGTCCCGCTGTGGAGGTGCTGTGGAGGTCCCGCTGGAGGTCCCGCTGGACAGCCCGCAGGACGGACACGAAACCCGACCCCACTGCCCTAGATGAAGACGACGACGTCGTCGGTGGCGTTTGTCATCGTCACGACGACGTAAGGCAGCGTCACCACACTGGATCGCCGGGCCGGCGCCTCTGCAGGTCACACGCTGCCGGCCGGGCCGGCCGGGGTCACCGTGATAAAGGTAGTGATAGCGTTTCATCGCGCGCAGCGCTCCCGCCCCAAAGGAGAAGGAAGGAAGGAGAGAAAAAAAACAACCCAAGAATGTCATGATAAAGGACGTCCATAAAGAAGCGGCCGCGTGGTCGTGCGTGGAAAGCACCGCGCCAGTCCATTCCCGCCACCTGAGGGGGAGGGGGAAGATTTAAAGGGGGGGGGGGCTCGGCCATGCGCGAAATCCCCGTCCTCCTTCGATACAGTAGTCTCGCCGTGCACGTGCAGCGACGGCGGCGTGATATCGGGCGGCGATTACGCAACATGCATCATCTGTCTGTACCGGAAGTAGAGGCGGGGAGGGGAGGGCCGCTGAAAGGGGCGAGGGTGGCTGCGCCAAGGCTGCGCGGACTGATAAGTAAAGATGACGAGGTGCAGAGCAGCGCGGGTGGAGGGGAGGGGACGGGACGGAGCGAGCGGCCTGAATAGTGGTAATCTTAGTTTCCATGTTCCGAGTTGGCCACCTAAAACTCGGGCGGTGCATGGGCTGGCTGGAGGAGGCGGCGGCCAGCACTAAAGACGAGCGGGCCGGAATTACGAGTTGAAGATTGCGCCCCGGGAGGCAGGGACGACGGAGGGGGAGGCGAAGTCAGGAATCAAAAAGAACAAAAAAAGAGACAGAAAGAGCAAAAAACAACGAACGAGAGGTGGCGGACAGGCAATAAAGAGCCGTTTAATCGGGTGCAGTGTAGGCAGCACCACCGGGCAGCGCACGACAAGCCACACACACCCCTCGCCCTCCCCCTCCCCCCCCACACACACAATAAAAACGATGCGCGTGGGAAGCATCGGTCCGAAACCCCTCCCCTGCCTGGACACATCCAAGCCACGCGCCCAAATTGTAGCGAAAAAGGACGAAGGACGCGCGCATCACACACACGCACACAACACTATGCACACACACACTACCCACTACGCACACGACGACCTACGAGGTGGATGTGCGTCTGACAGGAGGCGGGGCAGGTCACTCGTCAGGGCCAGCAGAGCACACGTCATTATTCGCAGAGGGCACACACGCACGCACGCGGCGCGTGTTGCAACAAGGCCCATCAAGGACACAGAGGCGAAAGCAAACGACCGCTGTGATGGGCCGGAGACGGCGGCGGGGGCGGGCAGGGCCTCTTCATGTCGCACAGCGAGGCAGCACGACGGCTTGCCGACGGCCGCCACGTCGAGACGCCAAGATGTCACCACTGTAAGTGCGCTGCGCTGTCTGCCGTGTGTTCATGCATCAATGAGGAAGAGCGCACGAATCGGTCGCGTTTCCGCAACTGGCCATACCGAGTCCAGTCGTCCTCCATTTCGTCTTTTCCCCCTTTCACTCCGTTTTTCCCCCTTTTCAATTAGGCCGTGACCGGAAGCTGATGGCAGATAAACGAGAGGGAGGCAGAGAGACAGAGAGAGAGAGAGAGAGAGAGAGAGAGAGAGAGAGAGAGAGAGAGAGAGAGAGAGAGAGAGAGAGAGAGAGAGAGAGAGAGAGAGAGAGTAGGTCCGGCATCACACGGAATATTTATTACATTAGGACCTTTCCCTCTGTCACACGCGGCGAACACACGTGGGTGAGTGAGAGCGGCCGAGTAGCAGGGGATCGAGTGATCCTATGTGTGTGTGTGGGTGAGAGAGAGACTGTGTGTGCGCGCGGTGGAGGTGTAGTGGGGCGTGTCGCTTCAGAGGGTACCTTAATTTAATCCCATTCGCGGCGATATGTACCCACAGCCCTGGTGGATCGTTCGGACCCGATCTGGACGCAAAGATGGCGTCTGCTTGCCGTCCGTGAGGTCCTGGGGGGGCCATAACTAGTCCGAACTGAGTCCAGTGCGTCCTTCCTGGTCCACAGTCAGTCCTGCTGTAGTCTGCGACGTCCGGAGCCTTCAGTCCATTCGCCGTCCCGGCGCGTCCACGGTCTCACGTCGTCCGATAAGAGTCCCAAGCGTCCTTTCGGAGTCCACTCGAGTCCGAAGTTGGTCCACTCTGCGTCTGCTTGGTCCACGCACAGAAAACAGCGTCTGTCAAGCGTCCGCATTGGGTCACCTGCCGTCCGCCAAACTTCATAGAAAACTTTACGAAGTCCGCAATACGTCCTTGAAGTCCGTGAATGGTCACCAGAGGGTCCGCCAGTGGTCCGGCGGGAGACGCCGCGAGAGTTTTGCCTGAGAGTCCCTGGTAAGTCCGTTTGGGTCCGAAGCCGGTCAAAAATGGAAGTCCAGGATATGTCCGCAGTGCGTCCGTCCAGTCCGCCCCAAAGGTCCGCTAGTGGTCCGAAGTGCGACGCCGCTTGAGTTTTGCCTTAGAGTCCCTGGTACGTCCGTGCTAGGTCCGTTGGGGTCAGTGTGGCGTCCATACTACGTCCGTTTGGGTCCGTGGGGCGTCCGTACTGCGTCCGTACTGCGTCTGTTGGGATCCGTGGGGCGTCCGTACCGCGTCCGTTGGGATCACTGGGGCGTCCGTACTGCGTCCGTTGGGACCCGTGGGGCGTCCGTGATGCGTCCGTTATGGTCCGCACGGCGTTATGTAACTGGGGCGCAAAGGGCTCTTATAGGCGCTTATGGACGCTAACGGACGCACTTCGGACTTTGGATGCGTGGACCCATAAGGACGCACTTAGGACCCTGGTTGCGACCACTCGTTGGAAAGGTCTCACCAAGACCCGTTCGAATCTGCAAAAAAAAAAAATTGTTGGTCACCCCCCTTTTTTCAAAATAGAGTTAAAAAATCAGTATCTTGAAAAAAGGGGGGTGACCAACAATTTTTTTTTATTGCAGATTCGAACAGGTCTTGGTGAGACCTTTCCAACGAGTGGTCGCAACCAGGGTCCTAAGTGCGTCCTTATGGGTCCACACATCCAAAGTCCGAAGTGCGTCCGTTAGCGTCCATAAGCGCCTATAAGAGCCCTTTGGGCCCCAGTTAGATAACGCCGTGCGGACCCTAACGGACGCATCGCGGACGCCCCACGGGTCCCAACGGACGCAGTACGGACGCCCCAGGGATCCCAACGGACGCAGTACGGACACCCCACGGATCCCAACGGATGCAGTACGGACGCAGTACGGACGCCCTACGGGACCCAACGGACGCAGTATGGACGCCACACTGACCCCAACGGACGCAGTATGGACGCCACACTGACCCCAACGGACGCAGTATGGACGCCACACTGACCCCAACGGACCTAGCACGGACGCCCCACGGACCCCCACGGACCCCAACGGACCCACATGGACCCTTTGTGGACCCTTTATGGACCTTGCGCGGACGTACTGGACGATAATTGGACGCCGGTGGACCTCGCAGGGACGCAGTCCACAAACGGTCCTATTTGAAACATTTTGGACGCCACCTGGACGCCACGGTTGGCGTCCGGATCCCGTCCGACCGATCCACCAGGGAGCGCCGAAAGAGCCACCGGGACCCGTGGGAAGGGGAGGGGAAAGGGAGGGGGGGGGGGTGCGTTCGTTTGATAGCGCATCGCATATGAGAGGCGAGAGTGCTTGTCACAGTGTTGGCGG